AAATAAATAAACACAAAGGTGTCAGTCAGTCTGGTCTAAAATATAATAAAACAAATAACATAAAAAAATATAAACAACATACAGACACAATGTGACAAATCTAGAGGAGAAAACCTTTTGTGCAGGCTATATAAAATAAATGTCTCTACCTGATGTTAGGATATGTTTCCTCTGACAGCAGACTGCAGAACTCTCCATCCATGCCACTTGTTGCTCTGGATTTGATCCCAGTGTCATTTTGCAGAATCAAAACCTTATTTTCATCACCGGAGCAGTCCAGACTGAAACAAGGACACGAATTTGGACACAATGTCATCCATCCTGGACAACTGCATTCTATCTCCGGCAGAAGCAGTGGAGGTGGGAGGCAGGAGGAGTTTACATTCCTGAACGTGCTCCCTCCACTCTCCTCCTCCCACCTCCACCGCTTCTGCCGGAGTTAGAATGAAGCTCAGCGAGCTCCAGACCAGAGTGTAACCTTGCTCTAACAGCTGACAACAGCTGTCGTCAGCTGTTAGAGCAAGGTTGCGCTTAGCGGGCACCTGGCAATCAGCTGGCAGGCGACCAGTCGCCCACGAGAGACTGGTTGGGCACCGCTGCTCTACGTGAAACAGAAATCTTTTATTTGTTTAAAATATATATTGAACCGCAAAGAGAAGTTAATTCAGTTTGTTTCATGATGCCTCGCGCTGCAGGTGGAGGGGTTTTCACATCAGGCCACCCGAGCACCTCTGCTGCCAGGGTGGGTTGACGCTTCTGTCCGGGGTGGAGTGGTGTGTAATCGGCTGCAGGGTCCAGAATGATCCGGGGGACAGAACACTTGTCAGGCTCAGACTGAGCTGTACTGTGAATTTTAACAGAAACAGGGAACCAAACAGAAATGAAAAGATGTTCTTTCTGTTCTGTTTTGGACCAAAGTCATATTTTAACAGTTTTTTTTTATTTTTGCCTGAACTTTACATTATTACATGTTGTATCAGCTAAATGTGAGTTTGCATGTAGATCATGAAACTTTACATTTTACAAAATCAGAATCAGTTTTTTTGCATCATTTTTAGACAAGATGTTTCTAATTTTAGTGATATTACGCAGGTGGACGAAGGCGGTCAAAAGACATGTCCTGATCAAAAATAACAC